GCCTAATGAACTGATCGCTGACGAAATCTCAGCACACATGAGAAAGACCCAAATGACATTCGTCACCTTACGTCATATCTGGCGTAGATATGATATGAAGCTACCTATGAGTGGCATAATTCACAAACACCAGCTTGAAACACCTTTGGAGTCGAACTGTCAGCTCATCTTGCTATGTCTCGTCTAAGACTAGGGACAACTTTTGCAACCCTATTTAGAGTTGGACGCCCGATGTCTATATCCTAATCAGGTAGGTGTTGGGTTCTAGGCAGATTTGGAGTGGTTGTAAGCCAGTTGAATTGCTCTTCAATGTGGTCCCTCCAACGTTACAGTCATCTCTCCTGAGAAGTAATTAAAATACCATTCTTCTCGGAGGTCGACTTACCTAACATTCTTTTCTTACAAATTGTTTCCCCAATAAATCCAAATTAGTGTCTGGTATTTCTTACCACTGATACCTCTTCTGTCTCTTCAGCGTTAAACTAGACAGCTCTTTTCACTTCTCCGAAAATCCAGTCAGTTGGCGCGTAGGGTAGGATTTTGAAAAGATATCTGTTAGCTGCACAATCTCTCCGTCTTTTCACAAGTCCCTTCAGCTGGACAATACACATACGACTGTTCAGTTGAAACTGATCCATTAGTGACCTTTCCTCCCAAGCTCTCGGAGCACCAGAAAGTCCACGAGAATCAGTCGAAGAATCCCGTGACAACCATAAGGTGAATTTCGTAGATTCATCGTACTAGCCAGTTGTCGTTAGGTGGCTAACCGCATTACTTTTGGCCTGTATTTTTATGTCTGTGGACTGTAGATTCATCCGAGTGTTGTGATTTTAAGGAATTCAAATATCACGTCAGCACAATGACTAACATCAATACAGCTGAACACGAGTACGAGAATAATACTGAGGACAAGCGATAAGGTCCCAGTTGATGAGGAAAGCAGGTTATTTCATTCGGAGAGGATTGCAAAAGCTCACTTCAACTTGGACTTAGCACTGAAGATGTTGCTTAGAAAGGCGATGAAAGCTGTGTAATTAAACCATGAAGCACAAAACAAGAACATGAAGGCAGCATTTAACTCTATCAACTGAGAAGTATTGTGGCATTGTATAACTGTGAAGCTGGTGCCGAAAACGTTTATTGCACTAATCAAGTCCCTCACTCTACTCGAACTCATGCCACTGTGCTGAAATCAGGGACAGTTATTACCTGAACTGATGACAACCACTGGTGTTCATCAAGGATGGCCATTGACTTGGCTTGTGTTTGATGTCTTCATGGATTTAGTAATAGATGTCACTCTAATCGACTTTAGTGAATTAAGAATCGACGTGTAACTTGGGAATAAATTTGTTCATTTAGAGTTTGTAGATGATATAGTCATTGTCGATCAACAGGCTGAGAAAATGAAGAGTCTTCTGAACACCGTGGACGGAAGTCTTAGTATGTTTAGCATGCGAGTCGCCCCTGTCAAATGAGGAATGATGTTGCGGGACTGGCTTGCATCGACTCCTAGTTTATAGATGGGAAGTGAAGTGGTTGAATGCGTTGACATTTCACTTATTCGGGAGGTTCCATCTGGCCTAATGAACTGATCGCTGAC